AGTTATGCTGCAATAGATGTAGGCTGCCGGGGGATTCCCATGATGCATTGAGTTTTTCCTTTCCAGTCACCTTTCTCACTCACTATGTATTAATAGACCTCTCTGCATTGAATTATATCTGTTATTAACCTCTGTCTCTCTTCCACAGCACGTCTTTATCCTGTCTTCCTTCTCTCACCCCAACCGGTCGCAGCAGATGGCCCCGCTCCTCCCTGAGCCTGGTTCTGCCGGAGGTTTCTTCCTGTTAAAAGGGAGTTTTTCCTTCCCACTGTCGCCAAAGTGCTTGCTCATAGGGGTCATATGATTGTTGGGTTTTTCTCTGTATCTATGAAGCGCCTTGAGGCGACTTTTGTTGTGATTTGGCGCTATATAAATAAAAATGAATTGAATTGAATTGAATTGTTTCTTAGCTGTTTCTTTAGATGTCCACGATGTTGCTTTCTGAGATCTTTTAGTCAACTTCACATTTTTTATTTTTATTTTTTGCCTGTCCCATTTGGTTCTTTAGAACTCAGAATTGTTGTCTGAAGACCAACAAGGAGACCCAATGGATTTACTTTCCCAAATGGATCATCACGGCCTTGCCGTATTGGTCCATTTGATCGACCTTTGTTGTTATTATTTATTTTATTTTATTTTCAGTTGTTACAGACGTCCCGTCAGACATGACTGAGGGATAGGAAAGGGAGAGCGAAAGATGAAGGAAAAGAAAAACAGAAGGGAAGAGGGACAGTGAGAAAGGGCACTTAAAAAGAGAAAGAAAAAAAATCTCCTGGATCACCTGTTGAGAGAAAAAGAAGAGAGCAACATACTAAACACAACTCCATCACCAGTAGCGGTTTTTGATACGGGCATCATGGGCATCGGCAAAAAAAAAAAAAAAAAATTGCTTGTACTCATGCTGCCCCGACATCAGCCAGCTCATATTGGGAATGGTACAGGCACCAATCGGTTTTCTATAAAATAAAATATAAAATAAAGAATAAAACAAACTAACAAACACGAAAACACCAGACATTATAATAAGTCTTATCATTTGCACCTGGTGAATTTCGACAACAGTTTTATGTTAACGCACAATCCTTAATATGTTTTATGTGGGGGGGGGGGGGGGGCAGAGAGAGTGTTCGCCCGGGGCACCAAACAGGCTAGGACCGCCACTGACCGTCACGTTAATCTAGCTAAGTGTAAACAGCAGTAAATACTGAATATTGAATGTTGTTGTGTAGCAAGCAGGACCAACAGCGCACAATGCTTGGAAACACATAGATTTTCTTGCTAGCAAGGGCAGCCTCCAGAGCTCACACACCAAGAGTGAAGCTCCAAGATTCACAAATGAGAGACTGCCCCGGTCTTTATTCTTATTCTTTAGTCTTTATTCCTTCAGTGGGTGCTTGTTCCTTACATTGGAATGTGGAGGTGTACGTGTGTGTGTGTGTGCGCGCGTGTGCGTGTGTGTGTGTGTGTGTGTGTGTGTGTGTGTGTGTGTGTCAGAGTGTGACCCCATAAATGACTTCCCTTAACCTGCTGGTCTGGAAAATCCAACACTTCATCTATATGTAAAGAAGGCACTTAGACTAAAACTGACATAGCTACGTTAATCTTACTGTAACACAATAACACAAGGTACGACCTCTCATGCTCCTAGGATGTGGGGGTGAACACCAGAACACCCTGGAATGTTACAGACCTCCTAGGATGAGACATTCTTTCAATATGCCACCAACTGTATACTTCTAAACACAAATGATTACATGCAGTATTCTACCATATGCAAACTTATATCATTAAAAGACTATACTGACTACTAAGTACAATTTTCCATTGACATGGTCTTAAACCTTTGATCAGCTGTAAAACAGCCGTTTTCAGTTTAAGCGTTGTTTTCAATAAATTGCATGCTCAACAAAATGTTTTGTCTCACTCTCATTTCTTCTTGTTGCATGTTAAAGCTCTACGTGGAACCATTTTTTGCCATTTTTCAAGTGGTTTAAACTTTTATCGGGACTGTAGTGATGGAAAAAAATCAAATGTGGTTTGTTTGTTTTTTCAATTACAAACACAAATTAATCTAAAACATCTTAACGCGGTCATGGTGATGACCCAGCTGGAATTAAGTTGTACTTGCACAGGTTTAAGATTAAATATATAAAAGGATTTTCTTTAGTACCAAAAAAGAGAGAAACAGAGCAGTTACTGACTCTGCTCTGAATATTTCTCCAGCTTTTCGTATTAATAGTTCCTCAGAACTTGCAAAAGGTTCTTGCAGTTTTTTATCAATAAGATAAACCGGCTTCGACCGGCTTGATACTGTTGGCCAAAGCATCTTGATCTCGCGATTGGAGCATTAGATTGGTTCAGGTCATACCTGCTTGACAGGACTTTCTCTGTGAGCTTCTGAGATTTTATGTTTCCCTTTAGCTCCCCTTACTTGTGGTGCTCCTCAGGGATCTATGCTGGGGCCAATTTTATTCTCTATTTATATGCTGCCTCTAGGTCTAATTTTTAGGAAATATAACATTTTTTTCCATTCATACACCGATTACACTCAGATCTACTGTCAAGTGAAGCGAGGCTGTCCTGCTCCACTAGAACCCTTACTTCAATGTCTCCGTGAAGTTAACGCCTGGATGTCTTGATGCATTCTCAATCATCCAGGTAAGTAAATCTCCAAAAGTTGATTCTGTTCATCTGGACATTTTAAGTGGGAGAAACGTTTCCCCAACTCTCTGTCAATGGTACTCATGGCCATTGATCAGGGGTCTTTGATCAGTGGTTGTTGATCAATGGTCATGAGAATAATTATGATGAAGGTGACCTCCCAGCCCATTGTTCCTTCAGTGGGCTGGTTTCAGTCATTATGCAAATGTCCTGTTTATAAGATTTGGGGAAACCTGCAGACAGCTGAGACTGAAGAAGTCACCTGGATGATGAGGAAACGTTTCTGAAAACGTCCAGATGAACAGAATAAACTTTTGGAGACTAACATCTGGATTTCCTCTAACTTCCTCAACTTTAATGAGAACAAAACTGAAATGTTTGGACCAAGTGGCAGCACTTATCATTTTAACCTGCACAGTCTTGAACCTTTTATGAAGTCGAACGTTAAATATTTGGGGGTTATAGTTGACAAAAATTAAAAAACAGATTAGCTCAGTTGTACAGCGGGTTTTTTTTTTTCAAACTGAGGCTTATATCTAAGGCGAGTTCATTTTTGTCTTTTAAAGTCTTTGAACGGGCAATCCAAGCTTTTATTACATCCCACCTGAACTATTATCTCATTCACTGCCATTGACGTCTATAGACGTCAATTACGTTTTTCAATGGGAGGGACTAGAATACAACCTCGGGCAGCTTGTCAGTGAATATCAGACTTGCATTCATGGTATGTAATGACAAAAATGTGGTGCAAGTCTTGTTGTGTGCCCTTGCATCCCGTAAAGTGTTATAATGATTACCACGCAAAAGTGAATTATTCATTGTGAATAAATGTTTCACTATGTACATGTTATTTTTTCATATATTTGTAAATAAATTGTTTTGATAAAACATAACCTTTCTCAGTGTTATTTCTGTTTTATAGAAGTGAAAAACTATTTTATATGTTAGAGGTGTCACAAAGCAAGAAATATTAGTGTCAAAGGCACTTTTCTGCTTGAAATGTATTTTTCACAAAAAGCTCGTTTTCTCCCTTTTTTTGGTCAAAACAGGCATTTTTGGTGGAACCCACCTCTCTTCTACAGCTGATTACTAAAGAATGGAAAATGGTAGAAACAAGCTTTTTTTTTTGGATGAAAGAAGAGAGTCTGTTCTTCATTTTGGTAGGTTCAGCGTTTATATGATCATAACACACAGTTTTCTGTGGCTCTTCAAAATGAGTAAAAATGCTCAAAAACCCTGGCAGTGGGGAGTTACCTGATTTGAAAATGGCTGGCAGTGAATGAGTTATAACTCCTTATATGTTGGAGTTAGTCGGACCTGCCTCGCAAGACTCCAATTGGTCGAAAATGCTGCAGCTCGTCTTCTGACACGAACTAAAAGACGTGAACATATTTCCCTGATGCTCGCCGTTCACTTCAGAATTGATTTTAAAATACTATTGTCAACTTACAAAGCACTAAATGGACACGCTCCAGGGTATTTGTCTGACCTCTTGCAGCCTTATGCGCCCTCTAGATCTCTTAGATCAAATGATTTGTTGCTTTTAGCCGCACCAAGGTCGAGGCTGGTTCACAGAGGCCATCAAGGGTTCGTAGCCCCTAAATGTACCCCTACACATCAGACAGGCTCCTACTGTCAGTCTTTTCAAATTTCATCTAAAAACACATTTGTATTCACTGGCTTTTCATACAGTACAAATTATTTGATACTATTTTGTATTTCTGTACAGGACTTTGGTCAGCGTTGCTGTTGTATTTAAATGTGTAAATAAGAACGATAATGATACAAAAGCAATCAATTATGATCAAATTAACAGCTGCTCTCTGTCGTGTTTTGTTTTATTCTTAAGCTGCTGTGTATAATGTTTCTGCAACATCAGTTTGTCAGGAGTGTGTGAAGCTACACAGGGTGGCAGACCTGCACCCTGTGCATTTAAGGCCTTCATAATGACACATATTGTGTTCCATATAAGAATGAAATATGAATAAAAATTCTTATTTGCCAGGTTCTAACACTGATTCTGAAGCAAACTGAGAAAACAGAGCAGCATGAACATGCATACAGTCATACATGAGGGGCATGCATTGCAAACAGTTTTATACAGTGGAAAAAAAAAACACGTTTTGAAGGATGTGACCAGGGACGTGTTGTTTCACAGAGACGCAACAGAAACACAGAAGACAAAAATAGTTTATTTAAGACAAAGAAGTTTGTAAAAAATAAAAAGGAAACACACAGCAGTCTCTGCATGCAGACGTTGGTCCCTGTGTTTGTAAGCAGAGAATAGTTGGTTGTGCCATGAACTGTGTGGTAGAGCTGGAAAATAAAACAGCTGTAGCTGTTATCTTCTTTAGAGTTCAATAATTTTACAGTTTCCGTTCATAACTGTCTTCATTACAAATCAATAAACATTACCAGCTGGAGCGTGTTCAGCAGTGCATGTGACTCGTCAGAGCAGCAGAGCCCTAAAACAACAACACATCATATAAAAATCTGCACGTAGAGCCTTAAACCACAAACTCTGAATAAGAATAACTTTTTATTTTTCATGCTTTGCATTCACATAATTAGTTTTAAGGTTGAACTGGTGCAACATCCACAGAGTGCAACAAGAAAATGAACCCAAATCACTTTATATTAACATGTTTTCTAACATGCTTTGGTTGAACAGTAGAAAAAATCCATGCTCTTGTGAAGTGCAATAAAAATAATATAAATATAGTTAACAGGACGCTTCAGTTAGGTCTAGTTTAAAACATTTTCTAAATGCTTTTTAATTTTACAAATATCTCGAGGAGTTATTTTATTTTTCTCAAATGGAAATGTTGATAAAAATATCAGTCAATTAGTATTTTGGTGTAACTTTGTTAAAACACATAAAAGCAGTCATGTGTGGCCGTCCCTGTCAGACAGCCGTGTGCAGCGGGGTTCCTGCAGTGTGTGTCGGGGAGTGGTCCGAGGAGGACGACAGGGAGTGGGATGAAGCCTCTCTTTGCAGCTCCTCCACCCTTCTCTGGAGCTCTGCTCTCAGGATCAGCAGATCCTTCAGAGTCTGGTGCACTGGTACCTGAAACACAATCACAGCGTGAGGAGCTACAGTCTTTCTCCAGCAGTCCTCAGTAGACTCAGCTCGGCACAGCTGAGACTCTTACTGTGAGCTCTGTCTGAGTGTCTGCTGTTTGTGAGTGAACTCCAACACCATCAGGAGATAAGCAGCCAGAACTGAATAGAAAAGAAGATGTTTTCTTCTCTGTATTATAAAAAATAAGCTCCTTCGTCTGGGATTATTTGATCAAAATTTTATCTTCCCTTCTCTCATCAGGTCCCGTGTCCTGTGTCCCGGCATGACCAGGTGACTGAGAGCAGCTGTGTGGCTCAGCTTCCCCTGAACCCACTGCTCCACCCTCCCCTGCAGCTGAGCCACAAAAATAACATCCACAACTGCACCAAAGAGTAAAACAGTGAAATATAGAACTTAGACATTAGTTCTCTATCATATCGAGACTCCACTCTCCAGAGATTCTTACTCAGAGAACCAAGGTCACAATGTAACCATACGGTCTCTGTTGCTCGGTTCCTGTTAGTACATGAATCAATAATTGATCAGCCCGCGACCCTGACAAGGAGAAGCAGAAGCGGGTGGATGGATGACTAAATCCATCATGAGAGCTTTCTTGTAGATCTTGTTTCTGTTACCTGTTGTTTTCTGGTAACATTTATCTGTGGTGAACATCTCATCCCTAACCAGACTCCTTCACCAGCTACCACCTGCGTACCTGTGGCCTCATGCGTGGGTTCCAGCGGGCATAGTAACTGGTCCAAAGCTCCAGGTGTCTGGGCGAAACCATCGGGTAGAGAACGTGGTTCTCATAGTCCACGTAGAAGGGGTTGGTGAAGTCCTCGGGCTGGCTGTCAGGTAACAGCATCAACCAGTCAAAACCTTTCAGTAATCTTGTCCACTCACGCTTAACATAACCAGCGAGGTCATTAACGTACCTGTTGATGTACGACCAGAGAGACACAGTCTTGGCTGGAACCTCCTGCACAAAACAAAGTTAGACTTTCAGCTGAAACAGCTTCTATGACCCTGTTGCATCAGGACACGAACATACCTGGTTGGCCCGCTCCTGTTCACTGCTGTAGAGGAATGTACCAAACAGACAGCTGTACAGATGGTCCAGCACGGTGATCAGGAAGAGCTCATTGAACTCAAAGGCTGCTGGGAACTGCGTTCAGAACGAGTCAGAGAAATGATGTAAATACGTACACACAAAGACATACTGGAATCAAGAAACGAACACGATGTGCTGTTGAAGCTGGAGTCCAGGACCGACCTGTCGAGTCATCTGCCAGACGCAGTCGATAAACTGGACGAACAGAGGCGAGCGCTCTGAGTTAGCATGGTTCTCATCACCGTGGCCCACGCGCTTTAACACAGGGGAAAAGTAGTTATAAGCATTTGTTCAGCCTGCCTGACGTCCTTTCAAATCCTCATATTTCTTACATCTGATATGTTTAATATGAAACTAGACTCCTGCATCATTTCTGAGCTTTTACACAGAAATATACAACCAGTCAAAAGTATGGATGTTGTTCCTTTATTTTCACGAGTGTTTACACTGTAGATTCTCACTGAAGGCATCAGAACTATGAATAAACACATGAAATTCTGTAATAACAAAAAAGTGTGAAATAACTCAAAACATGTTTGATATTTCAGGTTCTTCCAAACAGCCTTTGCTTTGAGTCCTGCTTTGCTCCCTCTTGGCGTTCTCTCCATGAGCTTCATGAGGTTGTCTCCTGAAACGGTTTCCAACAGTCTTGAAGGAGTTCCCAGAGATGCTGAGCACTTGTTGGTCCTTTTGCCTTCACTTCTCCGTCACACAAAGACACGGCAGGTGGAACCAAAGATCTCAAATGTGGACAGACCAAAGCACAGATGTCCTCTGGTCTAATGTCCACTCCTTGTGTTTCTCAGCAGCTGTTTGACCATAGAAGCCTGATTCACACAGTCTCCTCTGAACATGTAGAGATGTGTCTGCTACTGGAGCTCTGTGTGGCATCTATCTGGTCTCTGATCTGAGCTGCTGTTAACTTGTGATTTCTGAGGCTGGTGACTCGGATGAATCCTCAGCAGCAGAGGGGACTCCTGCTCTTCCTTTCCTGGGGCGTCCTCATGTGAGACAGTTTCATCGTGGTCTTGATGGTTTTTGTGACAGCACTTGGGGACACATTCAAAGTTTTAGCAGTTTTACAGCCTGACTGACCTTCAGTTCTTAAAGTAATGATGGGCTGTTGTTTCTCTCAGCTGATTGGTTCTTGCCATAATATGAATTATAATAGTTCTCTAATATGGCTGTCAGCTGTGCACCAACCTGACTGCTGCACAACACACCTGATGGTCCCAACCTCATTAAGAAGGCAAGAAATTCAGCAAATGAGCCCTGACAGGCTCACCTGTGAGGGGAAACACGTCAGGTGACGACAGCATGAAGCTCACTGAGAGAAGGCCGAGGGTTTGCAGCGCTGCCAACAAAGCAAAGGATGGAATCTAAAATATAAAACATATCAATTTTTCCTTTGCTCTGCATTTGCCGTTCAGTTTCCTGCCCTATTTTCAAATTATTAATTAGTATTATTAATTAATTTTGCAAACTATCTGACAGACTTCTAACTGTGGAGCTGGCGAGGTAAAGAATGCCTGATGTTGAGTCGTATCATTTGCTTTCTCATATACAACTAAAAGCTTCCTTAATAACAAGGCATGCATATTTAATATGGTGCAGATTTTTATGACAGATCTTCTCGTAAGTATTTCTCCTCCTGGACTCGGAATCTCTGCATGTGAAGCAAATGCATTACAGCACCTCTAACTTGTTTACATATGCAGCGATACTTGAGCGTGTACATGAAAAGCAAAGGCTCGTGAATGTACTTCATTCCAGGTAACTATGTAAATGACTGCATGTTGATGCCAGATTGTTATGTTGTTATGTAAAAAATAGGGATATAAAGCAAAGCAACAAATATTATATGTAGCAGACTCTTACAGCAGCAAACTTGTGTCCAAAACTAATCCACTCCTTCTCCACTAAAACCTGCAAACACAAGCATATATATGTTTAGTACGTTACTACATGCAAAGATGAGGTTTGGAGTGTGTACTTGGTGTGTGTAACCTGGAAGCCTCTCAGTGTGCGATAGTAACTGTCCAGCATCAGCATGGCCAGAGAGGTAAGCTGGGCTGTCCTGTCCCAGCCGTCGCTGCAGTGAACCACCACCGACGTCTTCCCAGACTCCAGCTTATCAGCTACCTTTGCTGCTCCTGCTAATAACAGCTAAACACAGCAGGGCCGTGTGGTTAAGATCTATTCTTTGCATAAGGAAACAGCTTGTTCCTTCTTTTATGTGGCTGGCGTGCGTTTGTGTAGTTTACCCGTATGTACTCCAGCCAGTGCGTCTGGTCGATAAAGGAGTGCCAGTGGGCTTCGTCTATGGTAGGATAAACGACATCCTTCATCTTCCTGAGAGACTCCCTCATCACATGAATGTTTGGAATTTCCAGGAAGTTTAGCTCTACATTGGGGTAGAAACTCTCGCTTTCATACCCTCCATCCTTTCCCTGCATGTGATGGAGGCAGCGGAGGAGTCCAAAAGAAAAAGAGAGATTTCCGTGTTAATAAGTGATGTAAGGGTGAGCAGTGATGAAGAAGCATGTCTCTATAGCAGCGTGGTTAAAACGCTCTGTGTTGCACCTTGTTGGTGATGGCCACGCTGCTCTGTCGGGCATCAAAGATGGTGAGCTTGTGGGACTGAGCGTTGCGTCCATGATGATTTGGAGAAAGCGTTCGTCTTCTTTACAGCGACGGTCTGACGGCCCAACTAGCGGCTGGCTACAGCGTACAATGGTGGCCTGAGACTCCGGGTGGATCCAGGACAAGACCTGCAAGCAGGAAGAGCAAGACCAGTTCAAGCGAGCCAAACACACTGAGCACAGCATGAGGAAACAGCTCGGACAGAATCTAAACTAACATTCATTTTGTGTGTTCCCATAAATACTAAAGTTACAAAGCAAGATGTATGGGTAACTGACAAGTCATCAGCCAGTGAACCTGCGAACATCGCGGGAAGCTTGCAGCAGCCTATTGCAGCGTAACATCAGGGAGGTTTAGGGTCAGCTAATCCAGCCCTAACTATATCTTTAATCTTAAAAGTAGAGACGCTGTCTGTCCCTCGAATCCAAACTGGGAGCTGCTCCCGTTCTACTCTGAGATAAAGAGCAAAGCCTCAGATCTGTGCTCAGACTGACCGGTATACGGTGCTTGGCTCTGAACACAGCCACTCGTTTGATGTCTTCATCTGTGATGTTGGTGGGGATGACCAGGATGGAAGGATACGTGTCACATAGCTCGTAGGTGCTGTTTATCTTACTGATGGTCCAGCTCTCATTAGGAAGCCCCTGACAAAAGACATGCAAGCAGAGGAAAGAAACAAAGTCTGGATAATGTAGAAAACAAATCTGATACACACGTAACTTGTTCACACATAAAATGTTCAGGATGCTGGAAAAGTGCTATTAAAAAAGAAACAGAGAAACATTTTGCAACAAATGAGGTTAACTGGCAACATGTCAGTCGTAGAGTAACGGCGCCCGTGGAGTTACCTGACGTCTGTATTCTGCTGCTGGGTCATACACCTTCCAGCCGTCCACAGGAAACTGCTCTTTGTACAGGAAGGCAAACAAGGGCTGCCCGAGGAAGTCACAGTTACAGTATTAGTCATGCAGATGTGACAAACAGTAGTTTTTGCTATAATCGCCCTCACTCACGACCAGTTTGCCTTATGGGACTAACCAAAAGCCTTCTACAGCTAACTGTCAAACTCCTCACTATCCTCCAACCTTTGCTCCTCTTTATCATTTTGTATGTTGGTGCTTGCGTCTGCTATCTGTCACTGGATGTCGTGAGGCAGATCTGAGTGACACGTCAGTTAAAAGCAGTAAATACAGGACAAGAGAATTAAACTGACCAGACTGTGGGACAGAGGAAAGGCATGTTTGGTCAGCACCTCCACCACGTCCGGCTGGCTCTCCTCCATCTTATAGGCAAACCTGGGACTCCTCATGTCCTGAAGCATGAAGCAGGAAACTGCTCAATCAGCAGACTCGCCAAAATAAGACATTTGCACATTTTCTGGGTTTTTCTTTTATTGCTGTTAACTAAAAATGCCTATAAGATGTTAGATGACGTGTTTTAACACATATAATCATGCATTTGTGTGACTGCTTGTGTATTAAAGCGGTACCTTGCAGACCAGCTCCAGTCCCTTGTTGTTCTCTCCTTGGTTGGGAACACTGATAGATTCGATCCTGCTGATGACTCCCAGGTTCACATCCAGAATGAAGGGAGAGTCCTGAATGGACACACTAACATGAATACACTGGTACAGATGGAGCGCGCTACAGCACTTCTAATAATCGAGCAGACCTTTTCCACACTGATGAAGTACAGCTTGTAGTCTGTGATGGTCAAAGTCCCAGTAACCAGACCGCTGAATGGACAAATGTACATCACATCCTTGACTGTAGGAAAAGAAAAGCGCCGATTACACAGGTGTATTTGTATGACTGGACAATACACATAGAGACTAGGAAGAATGAAGGTACCTGTAGTTTGGATGGTCTCTCCAGGGAGCAGAGGAACCTGGTTCTGGAACATTTTGACCTGTGCTCCGTATCTCAGACCTGGGAGGGTCTGCAAAGATCACAGATCACTCAGTGGGACCACTACACACCTGTTTTATGCTAGCTAGTACTTGCAGACACATCGTTATCAAGCCTGTAATGGAGAGGTATTTTGCTACTGTTGCAAAATAAACTCATCAGTGTTAGAACAATAATCCTTTTTGCTAAAGCATATAGTTCGAGCTGGATCCTCCCTTAGTTATGCTGCAATAGGTGTAGGCTGCTGGGGATTCCCATGATGCACTGGGTGTTCCTTCTTCACTCACTAAAGCTGTGTCCCAAAGTGCTCCAACGTTTTCGGAGACATCTGTTACCCACCAGCTCGATAGCTAGCCGGGGTTCAATGGTCACTCGAGCCAGCGAGAACTGCAAAATCCCCGCACGCTGTTTTCAGACTCCTGCCGTGTTTCGCTACTGAGGTTAAACATGATATATCAGTCACTTAGATAACTTAAAAATGTTAATGTTTGGCTTTTTTCAGTATTTTATTTGTTCGTGAGTAAATCGGTTTGGCTGAGATTAAAGTTATAGTTTTTATACAGCTGGATAAACGTCAAAAGAGACCGTCGAGAGTTTGCTCCAGCGTCCTGTTAAATTATAGATAGCAAGGAGCAGACGGCCGAGTTTATTAAACTCCACCGAGACAGCTAGTGTTGCAAAACTGAAGGCTGGATGGTCCAATTTCAAAGCTCTGCACTTCCGGCCTCCTTGGTCTACTTGGGCCGAGAAGGCCTCCAAAGGAGGCCGGGTCCTCCTTACTGCAAAGGATACATCCTAGGTTTTGGGACACAGCTTATGTGTTAACAGACCTCTCTGCACTGAATCATACTTGTTATTAATCTCTGTCTCTCTTCCACAGCATGTCTTTATCCTGTCTTCCTTCTCTCAACCCAACCGGTCGCAGCAGATGGCCCCGCCCCTCCCTGAGCCTGGTTCTGCCGGATGTTTTTCCTTCCCACTGTCGCCAAAGTGCTGCTCATAGGGGGTCATATGATTGTTCAACAATACTGGTTTTAATGTTTTGTCTGATTCTTAATCAGGACCTGGCTACCACACACATTCTACATTTCCAAGAATACAAATCAGTAACATCTTTTATAAGACCCTCCCTGACTGTTGTACATGTCATTTTGCCAGGATAGCGCAGCAGCACTAAGGGAAAGAAGAGTGAACGGAAAGGATGAAGCAGGCAGACCAACAGAGCGAGGAGCAAGAAAACTGAAGAAAAGTAAGAGACAGACTTGCCAAAGCACTGGAAGGATGCTCAGAGTCAATGTCTCCATGGTAACAAAGCCCTTCATCCTGTGAATCCTGCTGCAGGGAAAAGCCAGCATGAAGACAGTGAGACAAAGAGACAGAGAGAGATTATATAGTAAAAGGACACGCTTATAGACTGAAAGATGTAGTTGTTATGTGTTTGAAGATGTGACGACACAAGTGCATCACTCCCTTTGAGAGGGCAGTACAAAACAAAGTCTAGCTCGTGTGAAACAGATGAGCACAGAATTATTGGGCCATCTATGAAAAATGTTTAAAGTAGGTTTGTCAAGTTTCCCAAGTGTTGTTAAACAGCAGGGAGTTTTTAACAGGGTTCCCAAACATCTGAGGTTATATGATGGATGTGTACACTAGGGTGGGGGAAAAATCGATACTGTTTAGTATCGTGATATTTTGTTTGCTAATAATGTATCGATACAGGGACAGCAGAAATCGATATTTTGTTACAAAAAAAGTTTTTGTGGACTGGAACATGCTCTGACTTCAGAGCATGTTGATCAGCTCCTTTTCTGAGCAAGAATCCTGACATTCCTTCACTGTCCAAATGTGTTTAACTTGTTTTTTGGCAGCAATAAACATGACAGTTTACTTGTTTTAATTTAAGACATTTTTTTATTTTAATTAAGTTTAAAACTTTTTTATTTAATGTAAAATTGTATTTTGTTTTAATTTACTTTCAAATTCTTCAGTTGCTGAATGGGCTGCATAGTTTTCATAAATTGCATAGTTCAGAATAGCTATAATTGGACTAGACTGTAATACAAACCGTTCAGTTTGTCAACAATAAAACTGACTGAAATGAGAGAAAGACTGAGTGTGAGACTTTGATATTAGATAAAATTAATATTGATAAAGTTTATGTACAGAATCTGAATATCGCAAAATATTTTTAAAAATTGCAATAATATCGTATCGTGCGTTAAGTATTGTGATAATATCGTATCGTGGGATGTATGGTGATTCCCACCTCTAGTGTACACTATGTCCCCTTTCACATAGAAGCAAATTAATTTCACAAAACCTACCAGAGTCAAAAATATTAGCTCCCCTGATGCTAATGTGGACTCTACGTGAGCACTCAAAGCATCCCTCGTTCACCAATCACGTTTTACCTCTGACAGATGCAATAAAGAGCAAGTTGGGGTTTAATAACATCGATCATGTTAAGCCGGCCGCCTGGAATCATTTTGCTGTTTCAGCTGTAAAAGTGTCATAAAAATCATCTGAGAGTTTTTGTCCCCTTTGTCAGGACGACTATTTCTTTCAACATCTGGTAGTTGTGTTGCTCTCCTGTAAACTATAAGAGTGTTATCAGGGATAATAAGAGAAAAACACAAATATTTTAAGGATGAACTGTTAAACACTGAAAAACAACAAGTATGTGACCTTTGACCCTGTGGAGTGTATTTGGGCATCTCTT